GGACGTGCCACGCTCGGACCATGGGGCCAGTGAGTGCTGGGAGCCAAGACGGGGGGGGTGTGGAGCTGGGGTCCTGCAGGGTCTGTCCCCCTGCCCTGGGATTCGGGGTGCGCGGGGTGCTCGCTGTGCTGCTCGGCTCTCGAGGCCCCTCGGAGCCCAGCCTGCTCCCCAACAAGGAGAACCGAGGTCCCCAAGGGCTGCCCGTGTTCCGTAGGTGGAGCAGACGCCCTCCCGAAGCCCGTGGCTGCCCCGGGGTACAGGCAGAGGAGCAGCGAGCTCTTGGCCCTCGACTGTGAGTGTTGCAGAGCCGGGTCGCCTCATCCCCGCTGGGAGAGCTCAGCTCGGGTCTCCCAGCCCACAAAGGCAGCTGGAAAAACAAAATCTTTTGCCTCTGCCAGTTCCTCCCACAACGTGGCGAGGCCGGATCCAGAGGCTGGTGATGACTTGTGGCAGCAGTGAGAGGTCGCTGCAGCTCCATGCAGGGGAACTGGCAAACTGCTCCTACACTTCCTTAATTAAACTACAAATCGCTTGCTCAGGATACATCCAGAGCTCCAAGCGGAGCTCTTCGAGGGTAGGAAATATCAGGATGAGCTCGAGTGCATCCCCCAGGTTTTCCTCTGCAGGATACTTTGTGCAGTTATGCCATTAGTGCCAGATCCTGCCCCTCCCTGGGCTGCACTTTGGGCTGTTTTATCTTCCCTGCCTAGCTGTTGGTCCCTGCACACTGCTCACACCTCAGCCTCCAGGCTCTTTACTTGGAGAGGAATAATTCCTGTTTGGTAGAGCTCAGGTTTTGCCAGGGACAGGAGGGAACAGCTCCAGACAGGTCGCATGAAACCTGAACATTCATGAAGCTTTCAAGTCAGTGTAGTTCTGTGCACGGAGGAGCTGCCTCCTGACTCTCCTCTCTCTGGAACAGGCTTCCCCCTGAAGCACTCGAACACTCTGACCAACAGGCAGCGAGGCAATGAGGTCTCTGCCCTGCCAGCCACGCTGGACAGTGAGTACTGCTGGGCAGAGCAGCCTGGGCACGGCTGGGGGGGGCTGTTGGGGCAGCAGAGGGGCAGGACTGGAGCCTCCCTTTTCAGGGGCCTTCAGGATGGCCCCTGGAGCTGCTCCTGCAGTGCTGTTGCTCTCAGCCTTTCCTTTTCCCCTTTTCCCCTTTTCCCCTTTTCCCCCTTTCCCCCTTTCCCCCTTTTCCCCTTTTCCCCTCCCCTTCCCCTTCCCCTCCCCTTTCTCCTTTCTCTTCCCTTCCCCCTCTTCCCTTCCCCCTTTTCCCTTCCCCCATGACATTTTTGGGGCTCAGAGGGGGGCTGACCAGTCACTACCTCCCCAGACTGGCAGAGACCCACCTGCCGACAGTGGGTGCTG